AATAAATGAGTGAGTGTACTAGCGCTGGCGCAAGTACCCGCTAGGTACTGAACTGGTGCTTGTAATGCTGCTAGTGTACGTTCGGGTCATGAGTATCACGTCAGTTTCAGTATGCATTTTTTCGAATCGATAATGCTCGTTTGGCAACACCGAAGAAACTTTTCGGTGTTTCCTCATGGCATGAAGCCACTGACTGGCAGCTGCTCCAGGGTTGATTTCTGGATTGGGGCCCCTTGGCCCGCAGCCAACTCTGATCCGCCTTTTCTCCCAAGGACCTATTGGGTCCTTGGGAATGGTTGGGTCGTGCATTCTGGGTCTGCGCTTGCTTCGGCAATGGCGCGGCAGAAGCATCCAAGCGCTGTTCGACTGTTGTTGGATGTTGGATTTGTGCACGAAGCCATCGGGGTCGGTCATTTGCGGAATGATTATAGGTCATTTCGGCCTCCAGATGAAGCATACTGCCGCAAATCGCAGTCACTACAGCCGTAACCAGAAATGGGGTTTGGCTGCACCACGACAACACGCACCTTCACACTGGTGACGCTGAGCATGGGACATGCTTTGCGACCTCGATAGGAGTTTGTTGGTGGTCCGTGACGCTGAAACGTTTCAGGCAACTGGCGATTGTTGCTCACTATCGCAAGCAACATGCCAAGGCCGGAGATATTAGCGAATTCAGATGGAAGAGGTTTCTTCCGACCGCGGCGCCAGCACGCAGAAGTGTGTGACGGCCGGGTTCCTGTTCGCACTGCTCACCCGCCCAACTCTGTCAGAGGCATTTTCGCATGACCTTTTCAGATTCCAATAGGAAAGCGAACACACCAGGAACTTCTGTTACACCGCCCACTGTCTTCACGCATATGGTCATCCATCAGAAAGAAGATGGTCTCGAAACTGGAGTTGATGGGGTCCAGCCTCCTTTTTAACGGTTCCAGCCCTCTGTCTAACGGTGACAGCCCTCGTTGTAACGGTTCTTAGATTCGCTTTTTGAGTTATCTTGACACGCCGTCAAAACGAATCAAACGCTTCACATTCAGCCTGGACCAGCAAACCTCAGCAATAGTCTTTGTGTGCCATTCATAAGAACACTTGGCACCCAAACGCTCAGTACTGCTCTGCAGACCCACTCTTGGTACTAAAAGGTCCAATCCGCATATATCACATTTCACGTACTTTGGTGGATCGAGGGAAAACAGTCAGATCGAGCACTAGCTCCACTGCAGCTACCACCCGCAGTAAAGCCACGACGACGTCCTACCTAATTGCTACCTAAGACAAGCTATGTGTCACCTGCCACCACCTGCCTTCGAAGTTTACTTCCTGATGGCATTCCTGCTAGGTTGAAAAAATGGCCACACCTCCTCCTCCGCCCGCTCCTCCTACTCTACAACGACAACCACCACCACCACCACTGCCACCACCACCACTACCGCCACTACGACAATGACTGCGACGACGACGAATCTACAACCTCCTACTCCTACTCTTACCAGCATTATTACTGCCTACGACCATGACTGCGACGACGACGACGACAACAAACAGCAGGTTGCTCCCACAGTACTCTCACTCCTACTCTCAGTCCAAGTCCCAGCCCCAGTCCCACTCCTCTTATTACTCCTACACCTGCGCCTACACCTACTCCTACGTCTGCTGCTCAAGGTTTTGCGACTGCTGCTGCTGCTACTGGTACTACTACTACTACTCCTCCTCCTGCTGCTGCTGCTACTGCTAC